GATTACACAAACTTTTGAGCCATAATCCAAGCGGTTTAAGCATTGTCCAAGTCCATTTTCCATTTTGGGAAGAAAGCTAACATTGTCATTCTTGAAAAGCAAGCTTTATGCACAAAGTCAATTCTTGAGCCTCTCACTTGTTCCCTCCGATCATACTCCATCTAAAAAGTCAGAATCAAGCTTGTTTAAAGGGTAACCACTCTACAATAGCAAGTACAAATCATTGAAATTTGATTTTTCAAGAAAATCACATGTTGAGCTTAAACATTTGATTTTGAATTTTGATCAACTACAAGTCTCAAAACTTGTTGCTTATAAATAGAGGCACTATTTGTGAGCTAAGACACGAGCTTAAGCACCCCGAAACTCTCTCAAACAATTGCAAGCCATAAATTGTCCAAAAATACCATTGATGCATAGTTTTTGACTTTGAACTTGCAACTCACATTTCCCTCGTGTGTTTTCATTCCTAATCATTCACAAAGCTTCTATACCTCAAATATAGTCCATCCATGTCCTTGTTCCAGAACTGTAACACCATTTTCATCAACCTCCATAACCAAAAAACAGAGTCTGCAAGTTGACTTCTCCAAGCCGTTTCAGCCATCCATTGCTCAAGCTAATCATTGTATTAGCTTCCTGGTAACTTGAGGAAGCTAACCTGATCATTGCAGCACCTTGAATCAAGCTCATTTGCATTTCACGATTTCCATTTTTGAGGTATCTTTTTTGAACTTCAATCTTTTCATTTAGGCATTGTTAAGCTTGCATTTGTGAAGATAAAATGTAGATATCATTACCCTGAAATTGTACATGTCCATAGATTTCATTTATATTTATTGAGCTTAGAGAATTTTAGGTTTGAATCTCTGAAAAAAGTTAGGTCAGAATTTGGTACTCTTAGAAATTCTCATTCATCTTTGATTTATAGCTTATGATATTTATATGGTTAGATTCGTATGGAAAAATGGAGCAACTTCCATGTTTACATCTTTCATTTTTATTGAGAAATGAGCAAGTTACATGTACCATGGCTGGAGGTTGAAGATGAAGTCACTTTCAGGATTGGGTTTATGTTATGTATTTTTTGTTTTTCTTATGTTAACGGATGTACAACCACCCCAGTGGCAAGGCAGCGCGCATTTCATGTCTAGGGCGTGGGCTCAAGCCCCAGCACTGCCACTTTTCAAAATTTTCACATTTTTCTCACAAAAAGACGCGCATGGGCCTCCAATAGTGGGCCTTGTCTTTTTTTTCTAACTTCTAACCCCTGCCTACTTTCACACACTTGGCCCAAACTTTTTTTTAAATTTATTTTCTTTCTCTTATTTTATTTTATTTCATTTTTCTTTATTATTTATTTTATTACTATTATTATTATTATTATTATTATTATTAATAATAAAAAATCCAAAAAAAAATTGATTTATTATTTATACATTTTTATTTTTATTTTCTTTATAAAACAAGATAAAAAGACCAAAAAACATTTGCCTAACAAACTTAATTTATTTTTCCTAAATAAATTAACAATTAGATTTAGGATTAAATATTTCCTTTTTTATTTAAAATTAACTTAGAATTTAGGTTTCTTTTAATTAATTAATTTCCATACTATTTTTATTAAATTTTAAAGACCTTTCCATAAAAAACCGTAAAAAATGTTTCAAACTTAATTTCTTTTCTTAATTAGTTTAAGTTTAAATTTGTTTAACTTTAATTAATCATTTTCCTTAATTAGGTCAAAACTAAACCCTTTCATTAAAACCAAACAAAAAATCATTTCCTTTCCATTTATTTTCTTGCACATTTATTCAATTCTTTTACATTATTCAATATGGTTGTAACAGATAATTAGTTTTAATTTTCTTATAATCCCCATTTATAACTTTGTATACCCCCTCCCCTAATGATGTAATAGTGTAGTAATTTTACTTTCCGCAATGTATCGCTTTCATATAAATGCTAGTAATTAGGGTTTGTATGGCAAGACTAAAATCAACAATTAGTAAACCCTAATCCAAGATAAACAATGCATGTAAATAAAGCACACTTTCACACTTGCACCCTTAGGGTAATTCCACTTGTTGCCTTACAAAAATGGTCATGTTATACATGTGGGATATATTAGCAAAAACAAATCAAAAATACAAGATCATAGTACCTCGATGACGCTACAAATGTTGCCTTTCAAAATGATCTTAGTCCCTCAAAGAGAAATGTAAAGATATCTCACAACATTGCTATCATGACTATACGATGACCCACGCCCGTCCCTTTACATCCAAAGATAAGGCTTCTTACCAAATCAATGGTAAGGTAGCAATATCAAAGGAAAGGAAGAAATGAACAAAGACTTTTGAGTAGGTAGATTGTTCCTAGTTTCTTGCTAACTTTAAAAAACAAACATCCTTGCTCATTTTCAAAACAAACACCAAACACTTTCAAAAACAAAACATGAAACATTTTCAAAAGTCCAACACTTTGTATACGTTCTTACGAACGAGAACTATTACAAAGTTTTCCTAAACGAAGGCGCCTTTTCAAAATACTTTCAAAAACCACCACAAAGCACATTTTCAAACAAAAGCAAGTGATCTAGCAAGCAACTAAGAGCCCATAGATAATTATGGATGAAAAGGGTGCTAATACCTCCCATTTTCATAATCCACCCCGGAACTCAATAAATAATCTCAAAGGTCTTTCCTGTTATTTTTCACCTTTCCTTTTGGATAAAAGAAAAGTCGGTGGCGACTCTTGCTAACCGCAACATTTGTGATCAAAAGCAAAACATCCCAAGTCAGTTCTCCCATCGTATCACAGGAACTAACGCACAATCATAGTCGATGGACCAATGCTTGGTCGAAGGGTTTTAGGAGCCCAGTTGAAGCTTGATGTCATGCCAATCGAAGGATACTTTGCTCTTATATGCCAATCAAAGGACATTGTTTAGATTCCAATCAAAGGACACTTTGCTAACATTCAAAAAAATTCATTTTCTTTAGGCAAGTGTTTGTAACCACCCATGTAAGAGAAACATCTTTAGGAAACATGAGAGAGAAAATTTTGGGGTACAACAGTGTGCATGTGCAAGTGCGTTTGTTTCAGTTATTTTAGTCTTGTGTTAAGTTTGCTAGCGTTTTGTTTTTCATTCTCTCGCCATACAATCCTAGTTAGTATACATCTAAGTAGTTTATAATATGTGCAGGAATTTAAAGTGTAGAAATTAAATCTAACTATTACATGGCTTCGGGGAGGGGGGAAATTACAAGTCCAAAATGCGAAATAAAAAAGAAAAAAAAGTAAAGGTCCTAATTTAAACGTTTACATCCCAGTAAGCAGATACAATAATATGAAAAATAATAATACTAAAATAAAATCACGCGCGAATTGGAAATACGTCTAAATCCTAGAAAGAAAATTCGTTTTGTTTGTTTTTCATTTAATAAAATAAAAATAAAAATCTAAATATACTTAATTTTAATTTTTAAAAAATTTTTAAGTAATTAATAATTAATTAACGAAATTAATTTTAATAAAAAGACTAAAACCTAATTTTTGTGATTTTTTATCTGATTTTATAGTTAAATAAAAAACAATTAAAAAAACAAAATAAAATGGGCCAGGATAGCAAAGACAACAGAGGATGGTATAAAGTAAAGAAAAACACAGGCCCAGATCAAGGAAGAGGCCCAGGTTGCCTTCTGATCCAATGAAGGAAGTTGTCTTTCGATCCAAGGAGGGAAGCTGCCTTTCGATCCAAGGAGGGGGCTGCCTTTCGATCTGGATCTGTAAGATAATGGTTAAAGAAAAAACATAATACACAACTTGTTTACACTGCACACGTTCCCCTTTACCATCTGAACTATTTGTTCATTCATTGATACAAATAAAACCATGACGTTAGATTAATAAAGCGAATCAGATATATATATCAAAACATGCGCGCTGCACAAGCCAAGAGGAAAAAAGTGCCTGGATGTTGGGATTCGAAGGACTTAGTTTTCAAACCCCATAATGATGGTGTCCTGTTACTTTGGTACTGATTTTCATATGTAACATCATTAACAATCACAAGTATCATTCATAGCATGGATATACAATCAATATGAATTTAAATTACACATTGGCGGAGATTGAGATCGAAGGCAAGTTACTAAAGCGTGGGGATTGTGTGAGTGATGTTCTTACGTGCGTTGGTCCTTCCTAATGCTTGGAAATGTCTCCTGGAAACACTACAAGAAAATTGGCAGATTGCGACAGGTATTTTTGTAGATTACGACGGTTAAAACCGTCGCAATTTGCTTTCCATGACGGTTGCTTTACCGTCGCAGAAGTGTGTGTCCCCAACCTATTTCGTGACGGTTACAAAAACTGTCGTTCAAGTTTACGACGGGTTTGGAGCTGACATAATCAAGTATTGGTGACTGTTTGATACCGTCGTGACTATCTTTTGAGTTTCTTTTAATTATTGATGGCGACGGTTCGATACTGTCGTGAATATCTTTTGAAATTGATTAAATTGTTTATGGCGACGGTTCGATACCGTCATGACTTTTGCTGATTATTTTTAATTGTTGATTACGACGGTTCGGTACTGTCGCCATGACTTTTGTTTATGTCTTGATTTTTTTTTATTTTTCTATTATATATATTTTTTATTTAAATTATTATCTATGTAAAAAATTTTAAATATAGTTTTTTTTTGTGTTATTTTTTTCTTTAATATATTTATTTATAGTATTATTTTTTGTTTTATTTTCTATCACTTTGTAATATAGTAAAAATAATTTTAATAAAAAATATTTAACATCAAATAAGCATTATAATATCCAAAAAAATGTGTGTTCCATAATCATGTAAAATGCGAGTTCCATAATCATGTCAAGTAGTACAAAAAACCCAAAATATATCAATTCCTAATCTTATAATAATAAGTATCATTATGCCAAAAATACATGAGAAAGTTCACAATCTAATCATCTCGATCATAGCAAAGTCTAATTTGTCCCCCCTGAAGTTCCATTATCTCCAATACGGTAGCTAGACTCAGATGAACGTCTACCATCAGCGGGTGATTCCAATCCCTAAAAAAAGGTATTAAAATAATAATCTTTAAAATAATACTCATAAAATTTAACTTTAAATGCGTCAAAATAATATACCTGTCTTCCACTAAAATTCTGCATTTGCATTAAGAGTTCAATTTCCTTTGTCCTCGCCTTGTCCCTTTGCGTTAAGAATATGATTGCCTGTGTTAATTCATCAATTTTTGAATTCTTTTATTTAAGTGCATTAATTTCTTCTTGCATTTCCTTTATTTGTTCACTTTCTGCAGAAGAAGATGTCGATCTGGAAACGATCGACATAGATGTTGTTTGACAACTTCCGCTAAAACAAACAATATACCTTATGAATAAAACAAAAATATTTTAGGATACAAGACATGAATGACTTCGAACATAGAAAAGTTAGCTTTTTTGCAAGCAAAATTACTTCAAACAACATCTACAAACAAAATGACTTCAAACATAGAGCAAACCAGTTATAGATCTACGTATTATGTGTTAAAGTAAATACAAAGGAATTGGTTTGTAACATAACATGTTTGTAACAGGTTTGTAACATCGAAAACATGTTGATGAAGCTCAGAACAAATGTATACGATGACTGATGAACTGGCAGTACCTGTGAATGTAACCAAATATAATGGTAGAACTCCGACGGTGAACTGAAAGTATAGGGCTTTCATCATGTTCTTGACAACTGATTATTTGATTGTCGCCTATTATTAAAAATTGGAAGTGTAATGAGTTCACATATGACATTGGATTTATTGGTACTCAGAAATGGCATAGAAATTACTATGTTGATAGTAAAATAAAAAAATCAAGCAAATATACAACTCTTATCTATAGCAAGGAACTAAAGTAGGGTAAGCTGTTGACATACATAATTAGAAAATGATTGCAAAAACCTTCATGAACAGTGATATATGAATTGGGCTTGAGGAATATAGATATTTATTGGCAAAACAAACATATACAGTCAAGTTTATCACTATCATCATATATAGAAGCAAAATCATGGCTTCCTCAATTCACATAAACAGATTTTAACAGCTTTACCTTTACCAACAAAGCATCCATCTTCCTTTTATGAATCCTGAGTGGACTTTTCATCTCCATCAACATCTTCTGACCCAATGCTTTAATTGATGATTCCCCTTTTTCACTTCTATGCTTTCCAACCCCACAAACCACAATAATTTCAGCAATAATCTCAAAGTTGGAAGCATTCAACAGTAATCTTCACAAACACTCCACGATTGAATGAAACCGCATGGGTAAATGCAATAATTATAAGAGGAAGTTTTTACTATTAGCCTGTTAAATGAATATAATACATGGTACATCTTGTGTATACCATAGGAGTACTCAAAGTATATTGGTCTTGATGAACTTACTTGGCACAGATCGACTAAGATGATTAAAATTACCAGTCTCCAAATTTTGAGATAAATGCAGCCTGGCCCGCATAACATATCACAAGAAGCGGATATATCAAGCAAATAAATGTAATCTACAAACAACAGACCCAAGCATGATGCACAAGTTGTTTGTTACTAATAATTTTCAATTACAATCAAATATACAAGAATTGCATATCAAGTTATATGCATTACAATACCTTGATTGATTTCTTAGAAAAATGGCCTAACCCTGCAAACATTGCCTCTGATCCTGCAACATAGCAGAAAAAGTAAACAAATTAATTTCATAACTCAACTATGTAAAAAATTTAAATTATTTATAGATACTTTAACCTTAAATTAATTTCAATTTTTCTAATTTTCTCAAATTTCTCATTTCTCTTTCATAAATGATCAAATTTCTCATTACTCTTTCATTCCATAAGTGAACACTAACTTCATAATATAAAATTATCCACGAAGAATACGTTAAAAACGGAACATACGTGCCACATCAAATCTTTAAGAGACATATATTGTGGTTAAAAGGCTAACGATGTGCACATAAGACTGATTTGTTACCAAAACAAACTTAGAAATTAACTTATAACAAGCATCTAAGTTAAAGGACAGCAAAATGTATTTAGCCAAACATGAAAAGCATCTAAGTTAAAGGACAGCAAAATGCGTTTAGCCAAACATGTATATGATCATAAATTACCTTAACAGTTCCAAACACATTCCATTCAAAATTACTGCCATCTTATTTAACTGTTTTTGGCAAAAGCTGGCTACTTTAACCAGAATTGATTCATGTTCCCCAACAAAAGTGATACATAGCCCAAAAACAAACTACCTACACAGTTTTAAACCCATTCCATCCAAAATTACTTTCATATACTAAAGCGTTATTTTGGCAACAGGCAAGAAGACCATAATGCTTAATCTTCCCGAACAAAAATCCATACAAAATTAAAAAGCATCAACAAAATTTTATAACAATATTACCCGAGCAACATCCAAAGTGTCAAAACAACCAAAATCTTCATTGTAACAACATTTTGCCTATTCATGGATCAACCATCACAACTCACAACCGGAAGTTTGTAATCTTCGACAGCACTACACTTGTTCATATGCAAAGTACTTCATCTTCCAACAATAAGAGGATTCTTGTTCTTGTAAATGTAATAGCTCATACACAATTTCTCTAAAGTTGCAACAGAATGCTGCATATGATTTAGCTTTATATCCATCATCATTCTCTGCCATAATAACAACAAAACATTAAACAGCCTCCTAACAGCAACATTTTCACTTTACAATGTTAATATATCTTCAATTGAAATTAACATGACAACAGATCAAACCTGAAAATCAGCTCCATATTTCTCAACTAGTCGACTAATATAAAGACGCTGAATCGAAGTCAAAGGTTGAGGAAGTGCACTTTTATAAAATTCCAAGTGTCGATTAGATAGTAGCATCCAATATTTACGTATGCCACAAATACTTGCCATCCCGAACCAACAGCTACACCTACAAGAATGCATGCATTTTTATAATTAAGCATTAACCATAATTACTTTTTGAATGAAGTTGATCGGTCTTTTTTACCTGATAGAACAGGTTGAACACTATTGAGAACAATGCTGACTCCCAAGAGAATTGACATATCATTAACAATTTGAAGAACATGAGTGCTCGAGGTGAAAATATATGCAAACTCTCTTTTGAATATCACTATAAGAATACAAAAGATTAATCCAATCACTGTTGATTGTACGAGTGATACTTGCATTGCGAATTTTGCTGACTTCCATTTTCCTGCTCCAAGTTCGTTCGCCACTCGCACCCTATAATATAATTTGTGTCATCATTTGATAAATTTCACTAGAATAAATTATGTTAAACATTTAATTTTTCACTCTTCGCTAGTAGAATACCTTACACGCCATCAACCAATCACATATGGATAATTCACTATGCTTCAGTATTGTTGTTACTCTAAGAAAATATCAATCTTAAATGTTTTTTTTTCAAACTAAAAAATTATTAATTTTAATATAAAGTGAATGTTTTTCGATTAAAGAGATATATACGTACAGTTGAAAAGTGTTAAATATTAATAATTTATGAAATATTTAAAAAGGATAATGGTAGAAAAAATTTAGTGTTTTCTCCATTTTCTTCTCATACGAGAGGTGAAATGAAGAATCAATTCTGTTCTATAATTTTACTTCAATTTCGATGCAAATGATATTGTAAAAATAGCATACCCGGTACCGGCAAAGAAGGCAAATGGAATCATCATTTCCCATCCATTGATAGTCATACTGCAAAACTAATTCCAATACTGTAATAACTAATAAATATAAAACTTGTAAATCTCAAATACTTGTTACTCACTAATAACTTACCATACAGACAATGCATCAACAGCAACTGTTGCATTTTCCAACTGACCTGTCATAAGCAGCAGTATCCTGTAATACCAATTCTCTAAACAAAGCATCACCCCTGAAGCTAATGACAGTTTGAAGAATTCCCAAAGGCCAGAAAATGCTTCCATTGAAAAACCATTCCAAGTCAAAGGACAACCCCCACAAATTGTGTACCCAAACATCCCAATTACCAATACCCACCATGAAACATCCAAAGCTATTGCAGCACCAATAAGCCCAAAATCCCAAACATAAACCAACAACCAACTCAATACAACATTCACCACTAAACCCAAAAGAGAAACCCATGCAATCACACCTGTTTTCAGCTGGCACTGTAGAAACCTCTGAAGAGGAAACTGAAACGCAAAACTGAAATGCAAAGGTATAAGCCATATAGCTACGATACCACTCGATTCTGCCACCTCATGAGGTTGTCCTATGAGTTTCAGAAATGGAGTAGCAAACACATAAATTCATAAAATTCATATCTACACCACAAATTCATAAAATTTACATGCATTTCAAAAAAATATAAACAATTTCTGATACTAAAATACACGAAAATACCGTCTTCTTCGAGGTCACTGCCGGAATCGTTGGGGTCATCGGAGACAGAAGGAGGAGCTCGAAGAGAATCGGTGAGGGAGTTAGGGTCATTGACGACACCGAAGGAATTGTAGTTTTGTGTGACGCTGCCTTTTTCATCCCATTTAGGGCCTTCTACAAGGGATTGTAACAGTTTGGGAGGAATGGTGAAAGCGGGTTTCAAAACTTTAGGGTTCTTCTTTGGAAGACCCACACGAACCTTAGGTCGAGAATTCTTGTATTTTCTTCGTGAGTAGAAAAAGTAAACGCATGAGTAGAAAGTGAATTGATGTTTTATGTATTTTAAGAGCTTTTTAACTTTTTTACGGCGACGGGTGTTTTACCGTCGTGCCCATGAGAATTTTTAAAGGTTTTGGGTGCGACGGTTGTTTTACCGTCGTGAAATGAATTTTAGGACGGATAATTTTACCGTCATGAAAGGTTTAAGGGTGCGACGGGTGCTTTACCGTCATGATATGCCTTTTAGGACGGTTAATTTTACCGTCGTGACTAGTTGTTGGTGAAAAATCAATGTTAAAAGTGTTAAATGGGGGCCGACGGTTGTTTTACCGTCGTAATAATAATGTTATGATGGTTAATTATACCATCGCAAAATAAATATTAGGGACGGTTGGTGTCAACTGTCGTAAACACTGTCTTTATATGTCAATTACGACAGTTATCACATAACTGTCGCAATTTTTGTGTCGTTAAACACTAATTTTCTTGTAGTGAAACTTCAAGGAGTGAGTGGGGTGCTTGCTTTGGATTGAGGAGGCCTGCCCAAATTGTTTCGATTTTGACCACTTTATAACGTGTGTGTATAGACAACGTGTATGTAGGCAATGTGTTTCAATGGGAAATGAATTTTTGTGTTTGCTTTCACTCTAGTTCTGTATTTATAGCGGGCAGTGGTGAATGGAAATGGTAAGAAATAGCCATTAATCAGGCTTTGAAGGCAAAATTGAAAGCCTTAAACAGGTTTCCTTTTTTGAGCATTTTCTACCCTTTTAGGTTTTGAATGAACCTGGACAGGTTTCACTCCTTGACTCCTTCGAATGCCCTCAAGCCTTGTTCTTCGATTGGCTCTCAGTGGCTTCCTTCGATGGCTCTGGGCTTCAATTCAATTTGCTAACGGTTTCATCCTCATGGCTCCTTTGATTGAGTCCATCTATGTTGGTTGTTTGACCTGGAAAATTCTCCTATTATCCCAATCGGACACTTCATTCTGGCCATTTGAAGCTTCTTTTATTATTTCCTTCGAATGTAATTGTGCAGGAGGCTTGGGCTTGGCAGCATGTAGGACTTTGGCCAGCAATTATCTTGAACCAGACTCATCAAAAGACAAAAAAAAACTTGTTTCCAATAATTGTGTGTCCTTCGAATGGACCAATTGTATGTCCTTCGAAGGCACCACTTGCATGTTCTTCGAATGGGTCACCAATGTATGTCCTTCACACCCACCAAATTCATGCTCTAAGAATGAACCTTTTAAATGTTTCTTCAAATGGACCTTTTGAATGTTTCTTTAGATGGACCATATTGAATGTCATAGTGTAGAAACTATATGTTAAAGGGTTTAGAGGTGAAGTCAAATCTAGCATGAGGGGAGCCACTGCTTTGTGAATCGAAGCACGCATGAAAGAAGTTCTTGCCTTGTGAATTGAAGGCAGGCCTGAAGGATATACTTGCCTTGTGAATTGAAATCAAGCATGAAGGAGGTATTTTCCTAGTGAATCAAAAGCAAGGCTAAAGGATGTACTTTCCTTGTGAATCGAAAGCAGGCATGAAGGAAATATTTTCCTAGTGAATCGAAAGCAATCCTGAAGGATGTACTTGCCTTGTGAATCAAAAGCAAGTTGCTTCGAAGGAATCATTTTCTTTGTGAATCGAAAGCAAGTTGCTTCGAAGGAATCCTTTTCCTTGTGGAAGCTTGGGAGTCAAAGAAAACTTTCTCTTTCTTTGATTTGATGCTTGGGAGCCCAATATGACTATATGGAAACTATATGGGGCATCAAAAATCGAATTGTACTTGTGCAAACTTGGACTTTTGAAAATCCTTGTGAGAAAATGTCTTGAAAAAAGGAGGGAAAATTTTGGGGTACAACAGCTGCCCCTGTTCAATCTTCTTAAACCTGAAGAGTTAGATTGGCTCATCTACCTTTCGTGATCTGAAGGTGGAAGATGATTGAACACTAGAGTGCCCAGAAATTTTTACTCGATGATGTGATGGTTGATTGTGTAGGGAATGGGCTTAAAGATTCCATTTAGAGAAGATGGCTGATATTTGCCGGAGATGGGCTTAAATATTCCATCCAAGGTAAACGCTGACTTCATAAGAGGTCTCTTTATGGGGATTCCTATTCCTGTTGTTTGAGGAGGACTCCGCTGGGGAATGTTGATTTTTGTTATTCTTCTGTTTGAGGAAAACTCTGTGGGGAATAGAGTCTATGAGCTTTAGCCGTCCATGGCTCTACTGAGGAGTTATCTCTAGACTAGAGAGATGAAAGTTAGCTGTTTTATAGGCTTCACAGTAACTTGTTGGGGAGAATGAAATTAACTTATTATCTGGAAGTGTATTAGAAGGAAACTGTGTAAGGCTGCTTCAGGATGAGTCTGTGTTAAACTTCATATGGAGATTGTGAGAAGAAACCCATGTAAGATTGCTTCAGGATGATCCCGTGTAAAGATGCATTTGGAGATATATGAGAAGGAGCCTGTGTAGGGCCGCTTTAGGATGAGTCTGTTGTGGAATGCATCTGAAAATATATGAGAAGGAACCCGTGTAAGATTGCTTCAGGATGAGCCCGTGTAAAGTTGCATCTAAAAATTGAGAAGGAATCCGTGTAAGATTGCTTCAGGATGAGCCCGTGTAAAGCTTCATCTAGAGAGAAGGAACCCGTGTAAGATTGCTTCATTTGGTCGTGTAGATAGTAACCTCGTCTTGTTTCAGGAATTGATCTACAATCAACTGTTCGCAAATAGTTATCGTGTCTTGTTTCAGGTATTAATCTGGAACATGCTTTTGTTGGTCGTTGAGATAGTTGCCCTGTCTGGTTTCAGGATTTAATCTCTAACCTAAGAGAAATAAAGATAGTTTCCCTGTCTTGTTTCGAGAGTTAATCTTTAATTTTTTCATGTAAATAATTGTCCTTTCTAGTTTTAGGTATTAATCTACAATCAGTCGTCCACAGATAGTTGTCCTGTCTTGTTTTAGGTATTAATCTGGAACTTGTTTTTGTCGATTGTGGAGATAGTTGTTCTGTCTGGTTTCAGGTATTAATCTCGACCTTAGAGAAACGAAGATAATTTCCCTGTCCTGTTTCGAGAGTTAATCTTCAATCTGCTCATGTAGATAGTTGTCCTGTCTGGTTTCAGGTATTAATCTACAATCAGTCGTCCACAAATAGTTCTCATGTCTTGTTTCAGGTATTAATCTGGAATTGTTGAAAATTGGTGATGATGTTTGTCTGCTAACTTTCCTGAAAAAGGTAAAGAGTCAATTGTATGCAGTGTCATGATGTATGAGATGCATCAGGTAATGATGTTCTCAAAATAAATGAGATTGTGATATATGCATTTGTGCTGCATATGCTATGACGCTTGTAAAATGGTGTATGAATGCAATGTGTGAACGTGTCAATCGTTTTATTGCTGTATTGTTGAACTAGGGAATATAAACCTCTGATTGTTGCTGGGGATGAAGAGTGTAAGTCTTCAAATATTTGTTGAAATTGAATTGCTGGGATTTTTATGATATCCTGCTGGGGAATCCTGAAAAGCTTGTGAACTAGGTTAGGGAATTATTTAATATGTCAGGGCAGTAAGTGGAGATTCTTGCTCTGCCGAGGATATAAGAACACATGACATCATTAGGCTATATGGCAATGACTTTATAGTAGGATGCCCCTGCCTCTGTACCTGCGGGAGAAAGTATCTGCAGGGATTTTGTGGATGGCCTTTAGACATTGTCCCATTTCTTAAAGCCATTGGTAATTGTCTTTCTGTTTTTTATGCGTGTATTTGTAAACAGTAATCATATTCAAATGCATATGTTCAAAAATAATCACTGGACATTTTCGCAAACAAAATAGAAAAATAAAAAACAAATAGTTTTGCACTTTCAAAGGGATAGTTTTTGTATTAATTTGAATAAGCATTTTTTGTACAAGGAGACGAACATCCTAGTAAGAGAATGTCGTCGTAAGAATGAAAACTATACAAAATAGTATACAAAGAAAAACAATTATGTGAAATAATCCCATTGATTTCCCATTCTGCTATTGCCTTTATGTCTTTGAGTGTCTCATCTCTTTTGTTGCTTGTCCAAAGCTGACTGGATTGATTAGTACCAATTGAGCTTGATAGTTGATACTGGAGGTTTGTTGTAAGGTGATCCAACGGGACATAGTTATACGATTTAAATCCCTAACTTTTGTCTGGACCGCCTTTTTCGGGTTTTCAGTCCACTGGGATACCCTTTTTATCCCAAGCTACCTTTTTTGGTTTTCGACTTACCGGGTGTACAAACTTTTTCCATATGTATATCCCTAATTTTTTCCCGAATCCTTTTGGTTCGCCGGGATGCCCTTATATTTTGTCTAGGCCAGTCAACCTAGCGGGTCTTTATTCATGCGTAGTATCTTTTAACTATGTCCATGTTTACAGGGTGCGGAAGGTCGTCATCGTCCATAGTGGTTAAGATCATGGCTCCACCAGAAAATATGTTCTTGATTACAAATGGTCCTTCGTATGTATGAGTCAATTTGCCCCTGGGATCACCTTGCGGCAGTATGATGCGCTTGATTAATAGGTCACCAGCCTGATATACTTGACGTCTATCCTTGTTAAAAGCTTTAATCATACGTTTTGGTACATCTGACCATAGCAGACAGTTGCGAGCCTCTTCTCGTCAATTAGGTTCAATTGCTCAAGTCGGGTCTGAACCCATTCATCTTCATTCAAACCTGCATCTTTCATGATCCTCAAGGAAGGGATTTGGACCTCGATGGGTAGGATAACTTCCATACTGTATACTAAAGAGAAAGGAGTTTCCTCTATTGATGTGTGCACTGTGGTACGGTAACCATGAAGAGAAAATGGTAAATCTCGTGCTAGTCTTTGTATGTCACTGTCATCTTCTGTATGATTTTTTTTATATTTTTATTAGCAGCTTCTACAACATCATTCATCTTCGGCCGGTAAGGAGAAGAGTTATGATGCTGGATCTTGTATTGCGTGCAGAGCTCGATGATCATAGTATTATTGAGATTGGTACCATTATCCATAATTATTCTTTCTGGAATGTTGTACCGACAGATAAGGTTATGCTTGATGAATCGGGCCACAATGTTCTTGGTAACAGATGCAAAAGAGGCTTCCTCGACCCACTTTGTGAAGTAATCAATGGAAACCAGGATGAAGCGGTACCCATTAGAAGTTGTGGGTCTGATCTCTCCAATCATGTCGATACCCCACATTGCGAATGGCCAGGGAGTGGTCAAAATGTTCAAGGGAACCAGAGGCACGTGTACTTTATCAGCATAGATCTGGCACTTGTGATAAGTTCGTGAATGCTAATAACAGTCTGCTTCCATAGTGGACCAGTAGTATCCTGCCCGTAGGATCTTTTTAGCCATTGTGTGCCCACTAGAATGGGTGCCAAAGGTACCTTCGTGCAAATCTGTCATAATCTTTTCTGCTTCACTTTTATCCACACACCAGAGCAAAGTAGAATCGTGGTTGCACTTATAAAGGATTTCGTTACTGAGGAAGAACTTGGTAGAGAACCTTCTTAGGAACTTTTTATCATTGACTGAAGCTCCCTCGGGATACTCTTGGGCTTCGAGGTATATTTTGACTTCATTGAACCAAGTTTTGTCCACTACTTCTTCAGTATCAACCTCGTAACAGTATGCGGGTTTGTTCATTCTCTCAATGGTGATATGAGGAGCCTTATTATCCCACCTAACCTTGAACATGGATGACATAGTAGCTATCGCGTCCGCTAGTTGATTTTCCTCTCGTGGAAAATGCTCAAAGGTAATTTCTTCAAAATGTGGAATCAGTGTCAGCACATGCTCTCTGTAAGGGATGAGATTAGGATGCTTCATGTCCCATTCTCCCTTGATTTTACTAATTACTAGGGCCAAGTCTCCAAATACACTCAAGAATTTTATCCTCAGGTCGATAGCATCTTTGAGACCCATGATGCATGCTTCATATTCAGCCATATTGTTGGTACAATTGAAACATAGCCTGGCAGTGAAAGGATTATGACAACCCTCAGGAGATATGATCACGACACCAATGCCATTTCCAAGTGCGTTGGAAGCTCCGTCAAAAACCATAGTCCATCGGGATCCATTTTCAGGTCCTTCATCCGGTCCTGGTTCTTCAAAATCAGTCACTAACATGATGCTCTCATCTGGAAACTCAAAATTCATGGATTGGTAGTCGTCCACAGCCTGATGATCCAAATGATCAACTAATACACTTACCTTAATTGCTTTATGGGTTTTATATTGAATTGCATATTTGGTCAGGATCATTTTCCATCTTGTTATTCTTCCTGAGAGAGCGGGCTTCTCAAAGATGTATTTGATAGGATCCATTTTAGATATCAACAAGGTAGTGTGAGTCAACATATATTGTCTTAGTCGGCGAGCAGCCCATGCCAAAGCGCAGCAAGTTTTCTCGAGCAGTGAGTATCTTGTTTCACAGTCGTTAAAGTTTTTGCTAAGGTAGTATATTGCACGCTCTTTTCGACCAGACTCGTCATGCTGCCCCAGTACACACCCCATTGAATTCTCTAATAGCGTTAAGTACATGATCAAAGGTCTTCCTTCAACCGGCGGCATCAAATTTGGAGGCTCTT